TCTCTTGGTCTCCTTTCTATTTGCAAAGGATCTATCTCACTACTTCCTATGTTATGACTTAAAAATATTAATAAAATAAAATTTCAGGATACTAAAGAAAAAATACTAATCTTTACTCTATGCATTGTGAGTTAATTCCCAGATCTCTCCATGTTGCATCCCATGGAATGCCCGAGGAAGAGGTTTGTAAAGTCACTCTACTTGTCTTAGCTCTAGGGTTAGGGTGAAGCTAGGATTAAGGTGCACTTACTACATTTTTTTTCTTGGAAAAGACAATAGAAAGAGGGTTGGTCCCAGTGATTGTCAGCTCCTTCATCAATAGAGAGGGATGATATATTTTGGGCTTCTCCAATTTCTGTTTTCTTCACGGCAGAAGTTGGGTGAATAAAAATGTCTCCAATCATAACCCTTTTCATCTCAGGCCAGAAAGCATTAAATAAATACGTTAAAGGAGAAAATAGATAAATCATTTTCACACACAAAAGAGAAGATTTAACTTTAAATTATTTTACAAACATATAAAGTGAGTAGAATGTCAATCAAAAAGTGAAGTTAACAAAGAATTTAAAAGTGTTCTTTAGCTCTGGAAAAGCCCTCACCCTTTGTGTGGCTTGTTTAATGCCAATACAACAAAGTAAGAAGTTTTTTTTTTTTTTAAGAGGAGAACAATTGTTACATTATAATATCAGAGGTACTCAGATGACAAAGAATTTTTTAGTTGAGTTTTGGTCTTTTTAAAATTTTGGTACTAGAGATTGAATTAAGGGCCTTCACATTGAAGCTACATTCCCCAGTCTGTCCCTCTGACTCTCCCTCTCTCTCTCAAAATAGGGCCTTGCTAAATTACTAAATTGCCCAAGCTGGGCTCAGACTTCTGATCTTCCTACCTCAGCCTCCTGGAGTGCTGGGATTACAACCATGTATCACCATGCTTGAATGTTCTGGTTTTTCTTAGAGTATCAATAATGTTAAAATTCTTAAGAATAGAAGTGAAGTATCAAAGAAAATGTGATTTTAATGTTGAAAGATATTTTCATATTAGCCTCTAAATGATGGTATTCATTTATGCTTTCTGAGTACATTAAATTCTTGAAATAGAGAAGGCAGATTGAGAAGAGATTCCTTGAATTACTGTCTAGTCACTACTGCGACCAGGGACATCCTGTTGTTCATATTTAACACCAAGATGAGAGATGCAGAGGGAGTACCAGCACAAAAATCTAAACGGTAATTGATTAACTAAGAAGCTTTTGATCTCAGTCCTTTAGAAAGTTGCTCCTTCGTGCTTTCACGGCTTGTGACTACGATTTCAGTAATGATTATACACTTCTATGTTTTGTCTGTTGAGATTGAAATTCCAATTTAAAAGGAAGGATTAATTTGAGACATTTGTAGAAAAATGGATGTACCTTGTAAACAATGTTAACTGAGAAAAAAATCAGACACAGAAGCTTAAATACAGTATGGTTTCTCTCATATGAGAAATCAAAAGTACAAATAAAATAAATAATAAAATAAAAGATTGATAAAAGAAACAAGGAGATACACTTTTTGCAAATGGGAAGGGGACTAGGGAGGGGAAGGAAGAAATCAACATAAAAAGATTTAAGTTATGTAATGTACATATTTCATCTATCCATAATGAATGTAATCATTATAAAAAGAATCAAGATATTTTAAGTACATGCACCAACTTCGTAAGATGAACGTAAACATCATATACTATTAACAGGTACTAATAAAAACATAACAAATTACAAAACATAAATTTTTTTTAAAAATGACATAACCAGAAAATCTTCTTTAGTGCTTTTCATCAAGATTGTTAGCAATGATTTAAACCAAATATTTGTTCCAAATTTGGTTGTAAAGTATAGTATTATATGGAGATACATTAATTAAATATCAATCTGAAAAAAATTCCTGTTTATAAAGTTTATATGAAAACAGAAGGGAGCATAAAGGAAGTTATTACATTACTTAAAATTATAGTAATGCTGTGCTATTATACTACAAATATTTTTAAAATCAAACAGTTCAAAAGTGAAATATTGTCAATATGTTTTCTAACACACAACACCACATTGTTACAAAACATGATAATCTAGAGGCTCTGCCAAATTCTAACACCTGAATTGAGACACTGTTTTTGACAAATGCAGTTCTAATTGCTTTTGGCACTACTCAGCTCTTAGTATGAATAGCTGTTGCACACAATGTTCCTCTACAACAGAGTGACACCAAACAGTTTTTAATAAGAAAGGAACAGGTAAAACACCCAGCCATTTCACTCATTAGCCAGTCAATGATACGTGACTGTACCACCTTGTTCTCATAGCAATGTTCCACTATGATTCAGCAATTCAACTCTTATACTCCATAATGACATTCACTGAGCTCCTCCCATTCACACACATATAATAGTACATGACCACAAATTGAGTGGTGTAAAATAATAGAAATTTATTCTCTCAGTCTGAGGACCAGGAGTTCTAAGTTAAGATGTCTTGACTTGGAATCAAAGCATTGATTTTTTGTGGAGATTCAGAAGGAGAATATATTTCACCCTTCTTTCCCAGCTCCCGGTAGCTTCTGGAAATCTATTATTTTCCTTGGCTGCACCAATCCAATCTGTGCCTTGTCTTCACATTGCTTTCCTCACTCTTTCTCTGTGTCTTCTATCATCTGTCTTATAAGAATACTCATCATAAGATTTATGGTTCAACCTAGCTCAGAAGGGTCTCTTTTTGAGATCCTTACCTTAATAACACCTACAAAGACACTTATTACAATAATGTCCTGTCTGAGATTTTGGTTGGATATATTTTTGGAGGGAACAACATTCAACATACTACAGTCAATGATTATGAACCCGCTTGGGCTCTATCTTAGATTTTATAGGGAGGAAGCTAAATCCCTTTTTATCATCCATGAGTTTGTCAATAAAACTTTCTTTTTATGTTCTCCATTTCTCTCTCTCCACTATAAGTATTTTCTTAGCCTCTTTCCTTTATTCCCTGTCAAATTTCATCATAATTTAAAGTGTCAATGCTTCCTAAATTTTAATGCATGAAAAGTTTAATTAGTATCTAAAGTCTTTCTAAAGAGTTGTCTCTCTTATATGAGGAAGATCTATAGGTTGAAAATTCTCATAGTCTCACATTTTGAGGACATTTTACAAGCAAGGCACTAACTACCCTTTGTACTGGACTATGATTTTTAAGGCTATCTGTATAGTGAACAGGGAAGCCTTAAGCTTATTGCCTATAATAAAATATTTGGGTTCCTGCTGTATCTGGCAGGCCTGACATGTACTGCTCTTGTAGGCCTAGAGAACAGATGCAAATGCACTATTGCTCATGCTGCGCTATGATCCATAGCATCCTTTGTTTCTGACATAGAGCTTTGCCATCTTAGTTCATCTTTGAAGTTGTGAGAGGCTAACTTATTAGTTGCAAAGTAAAAACTCGTCATAGTTTTCCACACGGTACAGTATTCCTGTCTTCTTCCCTCTACGAATCACAATTGGTGATTTGAAATGGGGTACAGAGAATGAGAATGAGGTAATATGTTGAAATCACTTAGGGAAAAAATTTAAAATACCTATTTTTATGTTTACCTGAAAGGCATAATTGTATCTATTTGGTGATATGTTATAGTGAGCAGATTGGACAGAATTTTTTAATAAACCACTTATGGACACTTTATACTTCTTCTTCACTGCTTTTATATGATTTCAGAGTCTTAAACTTTTTTTCTAGACTAGACTATATTTCTAGAAATATCCTCTTCTCAAGACTAGGATTTCTGTCTACCATTTATATATATCACAAAGTATCTTCTGGACTCTTTGAACTTAATATCATAATTATGGCTTTAACCTTATTTTTCCTCTCCCCAAACAATTTATATTAGATTTCTCAACCTTTTCCATTGGTACCTCTGTTTTTTCTGTTCTGTCTAGAACTTTTAGATCTATAATTGAATCTTTTTAAATACCAACTTTTATTTTATTTTGTGAAAAAATAAAACAAAATTTCATGAAAAATAATAAAAGAATAAGAATTGAGTTTTCATGCTTTGAATGTAGCCATAAATTTATTGATCATTGACTCTAACACTCCCATTATACAGGGGAAAAACTAAAAGTCAGAGATAAAGTTACTCATGTGGAAATTGCCAGGGGTATTTTTTTTTTTTTTTACTTCATCTCAGCACTTTTAATTCAATGTTTTTCACATTGAAATCCATTTTTTTTTTTTGGTTGCCTTCAGATATCCTAAATGAGGTTATTCTATTTTTATGAATTTTATGAATGCCCTTAAACTTATCTCTTTCTCCTTGTGTTTGTAGTTTTGACTAAGGGATATCATTCATCATTCATTATTAACAGTTTTCTTTATATATTTTTATTATTAGACTTTCATAAGAAATTTAGAAGACTAATTTTTAAGGAAAATCCAATCTCTGAGAGAGAGTCTGGAATGCTGGTTGCCCATAAGCTATGGCACAGCTTTGGTATAAAATGAAACTGTAGAATTTTCTGGTCTATTTTGCAGTCCTGTGAAATATATTTCTCTTTTTCGGCATAGAATAACTCATCTGTATAGTGTACAGACTTACATAAATTGTTGGTCTTAATAGAGATTATGGAGAAGTTTGAGGAACTTCACACTCTTAGGGTTGAGGTGACTCTGTCTCATGCCTGGTTGGTCTTGGCAGAGGCATCTTATGGAGTCAGACAACTACAGAAAATACCTGCTACCCAATTCTTCCAGGTGACTGACTTCCTGCACCACCAACCACAGTGGCTAAGGTGACAGTAAGCGATGGCTACCTGTGCTTCCTTACCATCTTGACTGAAGGTGTATTATTCATGTGATTTTTCAAAGCACACGCTTAGTTGCCTAGTGCCTATTCATTTTATGAAGTTTTATTAGCACTAGCTGGAATTGTGATTGTATCATGAGTCTTACCTCTGTCTTCCTGTCTCTTTCTAGGTCTGCTGTAGTTCTGTCTCCTACCTTGAATTTACTGCTGTGACCTCTGTGGAATACATCATAGATCAAGAATGGCTGTTAATGTCTGTCTCTAGCAATGGGACCTAACTTTGAGAACTTAATGCAATATAGTTTACTGCTGTTGTGTTAGGCAATTCTGGGCTAAGTGTATACTCATGCCCCATAATAAACAATTTTGAGATGAAAGATGCTTTGTGCTAAACACTTCTGTGACCAGAAATGCCTAATTTAGATGATGTGCTTCAGGAAATATTCTTGGAATATAAGACTGAAACAACCAAAAAACCTTACTTCTCAAGACTAATATCTTACTCATCAACACTGACTCCAAGCCACCACTTTGTTCTGCCCACCAATCCAGAGTTATGGTCATAAACTCTCTGAAACCTTGATCTTGGATAATCTACTTTTAAATCACACAGCTAGGTCCTTATTAATACCTTTCCATGGTATTTTCCTTATGAGAAACCATTAAGACACTGTCACGATGTTAGTTTTCCTTATAGGAGTAAGTTTAATAAATTTGACTTAGAGCAGTAGTTTTTTATGATAGGCTCATTGAGGGAGTTAATAGCAAGTATCTTTTCTAGGCTTTGACATTTTTGGGTTCATCATTTTTATCCTTGCCGTTCGAATTAGTATTTTTGGCTTCAGCTTCTTGATAGCAGTACTTGTTTCCCCTACAAAATTCCCTATTTTAGACAAATGAATGTGTTTACCTTTTAACCACCAGTTGTAATCCTAATGAAGCCACAAGACTTCTCTGTTGGACAAGTGGAATCACTTTCTATGTGTCCTGGCCTCTACCTTCTCTTAGACATCGCTATTGCATGTAAATTATCCCGATCTCTAAGAAACTTGCTTATCTGCTTAGAAATTCAGTAAAACCAGATTATTGCTTAAACTTTGCCTATTTATCTGACTTCTCATTCCAATCTGCACTCAAGAAACTATCTAGTATGCTACAGTATCTGGGGCATAGAAAATATTAGTAAATGAATGTTACATTAATAAATTCTTTTAAGTCTATCTCAAATCTATTTCAGTGGGTTTTTTCCCCAGAATGCCCTAGCCTCTTTTTTCTTTGAGTCTCAAAGTAACTTTCTTCTCTGTACATTCCCAATAGCTGATTAAATACTATTTATAGTATAATAATGTATATCTGTCTCATTCCTCATGCCAACTTTTGCTTCTTAGTAACTTGAGGAGAAATGTGTTATATGTAAGTCATAATTTTTTATAACAATCCATTCCAGTAAAGCTTCCAAGAAGAAAATTAGAAATTACTTGTTGAAAGAACAAACAAAAAACTAGGAAGGCTATGAAATGCTGAATTTCTTTTCCACAACAATGCCTTATTTCCAGTATTTCTAATTAACTTGTTACATTTAGTGTTTGATCTAATGGTAGATGTTGTTCCAGTCCATTTAAAAATGGTATTTTAAATTTGTGCATCAATTTTCCTATTAATATATTTTATATTTTAATATTATTAAAATTTATACCCTCAAAACATTTTGTTGCATGAAAGAAGTCAAATTATTTGATGTTTTAATGACTGATTTCAAAATTAATTATTTTCTTTAAAATGTGAATATTTATACTCAGGAAAATGATATTTTACAAAAATATGGATGATTATAAGTCATTCAAATATTAAAAGCTCACTAAGTTTTGGTCAAACTGATGCTTAAAATTTCAGAAGTATATATTTTTTCACCAACAGTATTTTACAAATCTCATAGTTTTCAAATCTAATGACACATTGAAAATAAATGTCAATTTTAACCAGTTATAATCAAAGATATTATTTTGAGATATTTCATATTCAAAGAAATGGATTGTTTTGACATGATATAGTACTGTAGAAGGCTTTAGACACAAAAATGTGTATTTTATTATTGAGCATCAGGGTTGTGAATGCTGACTGGCCTCACTGTATTTTTTCTCCTGGTTACTAATAACAAGCTTGGTGTGCAGAAGATACAATAAGTTGACTTCCATTCTAATTCTTCAACTGAAGTATATATTTACTTACCTAATTTACCTACATCCACATGGTATTATTTGGGCAAGCAGTGTGGGTTGAAGGAATAGTTTAAACAGCTTCATGTTGCATTATACATAAGGATTATGCCATTTTAGTTAGGGTTTATTAGAAGGAATCTTTGAGATCCACTACTTAAAATACAGGCAAGCAATGCCACAGAGATTTTTAGGAGTGGTATTTTTTTAAAAGACCTAATTCTGGCGAGCTTCATGCTTACTGTGGACCCCATCGTTTTGCTCTTCCTGCTCAATTTATGTCTCCTTTGTACTCAGTGCTTGAAGCATAGCCACCGTCAAAAGTTAAAATAGTTACAAGATGCAAATATTCACTGTTGGGTTTTTAACATCCATCATTAATTTTATCTTGAATATACACTTAATACATTCTGTATCAGAGGCAATATTTTTATTAATTCCTTATAATAATAAGTGCATCCTAGACTCCCTCTCACTCCTCACCTCATTCCTGGGACTACAATGACAAAGACAGGTGGTATGATCCCTAAATAAGTGGCAGAAAACCCCAAAGGTAAAAAACAATGCAGAAAGACAAGTACCCCATATGTCTTGAAGGGAAAAAAATATCTAAAAGTTTTTGTCCTTTGAGAGAGGGAGGAAAGAATCTTGTTCTCTTAGCCTTTTTGGACTGCAGACATATATGTTCATATATTTTGTACACTTATATAATTTCATATATTTTATAAATGTATATATTTATCCAATGGCTGGATTTATGTTGTATGTCACTCACCTAATGATGACATCAAGGTTCATGCTTCATTGATTTGGCTTTGGAATGTAAATGCCTAGGGAGAAAGTGCTCCTAAGACCTTAAGAGTTAATTTGGGAACTAGACAAGGTTATAACCATTTCTTTAGGATCAGATGAATCACCTGGGATTTAGCCACTGGAATTCAGAGTTTGAGGGGATGTGAAGTTCTGGCAGCCTGCCTAGGGTGGGACATCAGTCTCCTTAGCTGGGAACTCAGTAGGAAGGGACTTGTCTCAAGTCTCCCTCATGGTGATGAACTGAGAGGGGAGTGGTTAGGGAGTAAGCCATGGCCTAAGGGCCAGACTCTTGCTGATTTTACTGAACTTTAGTAGGGTTTTTTCCCCCCTCAAATAAATGTTTCCTTATTTGCTGTCTGCCTCTACAGTGATTCAAAATACTTTAAATGTTTGGATTTTTAAAAAATATTTTTCATCAATTATGATTATTTCACTGGACAAAGATCCTCAGGACTCCTCAGTTTCTTCTTCCTTAAGAACAGCATCCTCTCTTTTAAAACATGCAAGTACTTGGGCTCTTCAGTGAAGTCTCATGGAAGTTTTGATAGAAGCAATTCTTCCCTTCAGAAAGAAGCCTGAGTGTCTTCAACTTCGGAAAGTTCTCAAAAAAATATCAAATTTAGGGAATTGAGCTGAGCTTGTTTTTACAGTTAGAATAAAAACACATCAGTATTTTGTAGTTGACAAGTACCATAAAGTGCCTATCTTAATACATCAGTGTTAACGATGACATAATATACCCCAGGGAACTACAGCAGCACGGAAACAATTAACTTACCATTTAGTGCCTTCCTAGTGCCTGCAGTGAAAGACTAATGAAATAGGAAGTAGCAGCCTTTTTTCTGTGCCTCGTTCTGCTTCTGTGGCTGATTATCAACTTACAATGGCTGAAAATAATGGCAGAGTAGACTATTAGAACAGGTAGAGCAGGTATTAGAACAGCTCCAAGTGCTTAGGAGCCATCTGTCAGCATTAAAACTTCCTCATTGATTTGTATCAGAATTTTCCCAGTTCACAAAATAGCTAGACTAGGGAGAGATCAGGTAGGCTACAGCAAAACTTTATCTGAGAGGAGTCACATGTCAGTATTCAGGATACAACCCAAGGATTCTCTCATAGTCCACTCCGGCAAAGATGGAGGCATCAGGTAAGAGTCATCCCATTTTAGGACCAAGGGTCCTGGAACCAGGAATGGCTGGCACAATGTTTTGCTTTTTGGTTTTGTTGACAGGGCTATTCTAGTAACTATGGTATTCATTCGTTCTTTTTGTTTTTTATGAAAATTTATTTTGAAATAAATATTTCACAAACCCTTTAATACAAGTGAATTCACTTTTGGGTATACACTAATCACTAATATTTTAAACTTATTGTTTAATTTAGACATTCCTTTCTTATTCTTAATACTTATTTGCCTCTTGCTTAAAAATAAAGTTTAAAAAAATTTTTTGAGACAGAGTCTCACTGTATAGTCCAGGCTGGCCTTGAACTCACAGCAATCCTAATGCCTCAGCCTCCTGAGTGTTGTGATTACAGGCATGTGCCAGCATACCTGGCAGAAAATATTTTTTATAATCTAGAAATTTTACTTTTCTCAATTTTTTTCAGTCAATTGGTCCTAAATAGTATTATATAGCTCGTGTCAATGCTACTGAAAGTATCAATGCAGGAAAATTCATGCCTGCCCTTTCTTTATTTTCAGTTTGTGTGGGTCACATAAAAAAATGATTCTCCTCCTTGTGTCATTTTCAGTTCCAGTTTGTTCATTTTTAGAAGAAAAAACTTATTTTCACTTCTTTTATTATTTCATCTTTTTCAACTTCATTCACGTGATATAATTGTGTCCATAATGTTACTCTAAATTTTTAATTTTTGTGTTTGATTTTAATATTTTGAACTTAGATAGCATATAATTTGATATTATTATATTTATTTAATTTTTCTTTGATTGTTGTCATCTATACAACATAAACTTTTCTGCTTTTTTTGGCTGTTTTGTTTATTTTAGGCCTTTGGCATTAGACTAATTTCATTTGCCTTTTGTTTCTCTACTGAGTTATGACATGTCATCTTTATCTATCATTGATTAGTTTTAAAATTATTGTCATATATGCTTGGTTTTCAAGTACTATGATAGAGTGAAATTGGATTGCGGATTCTTCTTACCTCCTCTACATCTCTACTAATAACTAAAGGAATAAATATGAAATAAATTTAAGATCAAATGTAATAAAAGAATGGGGCAAACCCCAGTTCTGATGCCACACATTTTAAGAAGCCACAACAGAGGAAAACATCAAATAAGATTGCCAGCTTGAAACATGAGTCCTAATGTGCTATGAGCTGACAACAGTGTTCTTAATCAGGTCCTGAAAATTCTTATGGACATCCTCATCCTGTGTATGCTGTAACTGGTATAATAGAA